CCCCCGGCTGCCCGCCCAGCACCCAGGCTGTTCCTCCCTCCGCTCCCTCCTCCCGGGAAGCTCTGTGCTCCTGAGTCCACAGTTCCCCTGAACCCGGAAAATGGGGTAAAACCAACAGTTGCTTCTGCAAAGATTAACGGGAATGATTTGATCTGATCAAGGCTGACTTGCTCATAAAAACTGCTTTACAATCGGGTGTGGTTGAAGTTATCAAATATTGGGAACACAAAATTCAAGGAACTGTCTGAGCTCCGATTGCGTCATAGACTTAAGTACTTGTTCCCCTTTTAAACATCCAGGCTGGCCAGGCAGTACTAGGCTGTACCCGCCGTTGGTGGCAGGGTTTATGCTCAAAGGGTGCTCGAGGCAGGACCCCGTGCAGGAGTCGCAGACGAAGCACAGTGTGTGTTCAGGGTCAGGGCCCGGCCGGGACCCTCACTTCTCCAAACGCCAACCAGGTCCCGGGGGCTGGGAGGCTCCATGAGGACTGGAAGGTTCCAGTCACTTCTGCAGAGTTTAAAACGGGGCGTCACACAGGTGGGGCGTCATCCAGGCCGGCTGCTGTCCCCTTGACAACCGTGTCCTTGACCTCTGACCTCCACCAGGGGCGGGTGAGTGGGTGACAGACAGGCGCCGACAGAGGACGGGGCGGAGGAGATATTCCGTCGTTCCACATGAGCCTTGTCTGAGCTACAGCGACTTGAGCTCATCTTTGGCCAAAACCTACTTGAAGGGACATAATACCCCATTTTTTAGACCTTGGGGTTTGTAGGAAGATGTTGAAATGTTCTCAGTTCATGTGTCCTGGTCACTGTGGTCACAGACTCTTCCTGTATGACAGGCAGTTTTCTGGCCTAGAAGAGGGTGCTGGGCCGTCGGGGGGAAGCGCCCCCGGGAGGGGCCGGCTGGCGTGGCGACCGGTGTCCTGTGTGTCTTAACGTCCTGTGGGCGAGAGCTCATCGGGAGCTTTTATAACTGACTTTATGGAGATTCCACACGAAATAAAGCTCTTTTCCTTCCGACAAGGCGTGTCCCTCTGTGAAGTCAGAGCCCAAGGAGCCGCTTGCTCGTCTGTCCACCTGCGCCTCGCGGGCGTGCGTGCAGGTCCCTGAGGAGGGCGCGCTGTGTGTCTGGGCCCTGGGCTGGCTTCCGCTTCCTGGGCAGGTCCTGGGCCCTCAGCATTCGGGGAGGTGGGGCTGCACACATTTGGTCACAGCGTGCAGGTGACGCGCGTGCTGTTCGGAGACGATGTGGGAACTGCACGCGGAAATGCTTGGAAAGACTGCACCCCTCCCCTCAGAGGACACGCAGTGGGCCCGGTGCTCTGTGCTGACCCTGCACGCGGCTGGCCACACGCGCTAGCTGCCGGGAGCCCTCTGCGTGCGTAGGAGGGTCTGCAGACGGGCAGAGGTCCGTTCACAGGCAGCTGACAGGCCGATCCAACAAGGTCGGCAGCGTCTTTTGTCTGATGTCCTGTCCCACACACAGTCTCCAGGTGGCAGTCGATGAGTTTAAGCCTCTGCCTCCTGGGAGCAGTTGCCGACTTGGCGTCATCCTGTTGTGACTCCGTCAAACCTGTCAACAGTGTGCGAGTCCCCTTCCCGTAACGTCAGCTCCTAAGTCCCTTCATCTGAGTCCAGCTTCAATGCACTGAGACGCCTGAAGGAACCCAAAGACCGAAAGATGGGGTTTGCCAGGGAGCTGGGAGGAACCCAGCCGTCGTCTTGGGCAAATAGATGATATAGTTTAAACTAGTTTGGCCTGGCCGGTGTGGCTCAATGGTTGCAGTTGACCCATGAAACAAGATGTCACCTGTTTGATTCCCTGTCGGGGCACATGCCTGGATTGTGGGCTCACTCCCCAGTAGGGGGCGTGCAGGAGGCAGCCGGTGTTTCTCATCAATGTTTTAACTTCACTCTGTTTTCACCCCAAAGTGAATATGATTTACAAAAGGGTGATTTTTGCTTTGCAAAGGAGTGAATTTAATTTGCAAAAGGGTGAGTTTTTAAGTGGAAAGTCTGTATCTTTCCATCCCTCTCCCTTCCTCTCTGTCTAAAAATCAATAAAAACATATTTTTTAAAAAACGCTTGAACTAGTTTGGGATTTTACCTAATGAAAAAAAAAGAAAACCAACAAAGCAAATGAGGAAATTAGGAAGTTTAGAAGATAAGTGGAAAGGGTAAATGCATTCCCCCAAAAAGCTGGTTTTTCAAGGCTACAAATGATAGAAACACCGAATAAACCTAAGAAAAATATACAAGATCCGGGAATGTGAAAAAGACAAGCCCAGAGTCAGGATCAGCAAAGGAATGACGTGAAGCAATGTGTACAATTCCATGGCAACGGAAAGCAACGCGAA